ATGCAGCCATATTCTATATTCCTCGCACATATCATTTAACATTTGGTTCCAAAGAGATGAAAAAATAAAAGCTGGGAATAAAAGGGGCTCTGGCCCTTTAAGTCTCCTGGCAGTTGGGGGAGGACAGCTCCTTGGTTTATAATAGAGCAGTGCAACAACTAGGCCCTTAGTCTCTTGATTTGAACCTCTTAGGAAGGCAGGACCCTTCCCAATGCCATTGTATCCAACAAGCTGAGTGCACACTGCTCCAGGACACACCCACTCACACCTGTGACTGCACTACAAAACATAGAACTGACCTGGGTCACTACTCAGGATGTGCCACCACAGACTCAAATCCTATCCCTCCCTGAGAAGTCGCTGACCTTACACAGACCCAAGCTACAAAGGAGCTACAGCAGACAGACTACAAACACAACCTGGCATAAGTGGGGCAACATCTCCAGCTACTTTCTGTTCTACCATGTCCCTATCCCAAATCCTCTGAAAGAAGATTTATTGTTTTCTTTTTGTAAATCATGAACCTCTACATTTAGAAAATAGAATGGGCTGCTGATAAACCTAAAATCAATCCATTCTGTCAAGAAAAAACTAATGCTCACTCAAAGTCAAATGCTGAATGACTGGGAGTCTGGGCCGGATTCCCCCTCCTCACTGCAGGACAGTATTCTGCTGAATGAGATGTGCAGGGTTACAATCCTCTGGCCAGCACTGGGTCTTTCGCATCTGACACTAAATAACAGAGGGGTGAGACACAGGTCCTGTGAACTTACATCTGCCCAGTATGGGAAGAGTGCTGCTCTCTATATAGCTTGTCTACAGCTTCAGTGATAAAGTGCACTTTTATCCAAGAGGAATCTGCTCAAATTCTCTGCCTGTGGTAAACTCACTGGTTCAACAGGAGGGAAAGAACAGAGCCTCCTGTGATCATCACCACAGTAATATTAAAGATTAATGGAGAGCATCAAACATCTCTGATGCTGACTCTGATCCTCTGCCAACAGGGAGGCACACAGAAGAGGCAGAACAGGACAGAAACTGTCCCCACACTGAGATACTAAGTCTAAACAGATGCTTTTACAAAGGCTTGGCTCCCTTTCTGCCACACCAATAGTGGCCTCTATGTGCCTCTCCACTCCAGGACACTTTGCCACAGACAAGCACATTTTCTTAGAAGCCTCCTGTACCACCCTCAAAGTTGAGCATTCCCAGGAACAACAGAAGGAGCACCTATGGTGGTGATATGGCAAAGTGGCCATGTGGGCATGCTTTTGTCTGGGAAACACTTTCAGGCACAGAAATTCTGACTTCTTCACCATCCTGGGAAGTAGGACAAGACCGGAAGTGGTCAACAGAAGAACAGCTGGGCTAAGGAAGGATCTGTAACCACAGAACCAAAACAAGTCAGCTAACTGCCAGAGCATGTAACATTTACAGTTTGAGGTCACATCAACAGACAAAGACTTCACCTAATATGATGGTTAACTACCAAATGCCCAGCTTACAAGGAAAGAGAGAAAATCTAAAAGGAAGGGTATGGAATAATAAATAGAAGGACTGCTAAACATACTGGGCATCTTGGTTTTTGTTTCGTTGATACACGGTCTTCCTACAGCCCCAGCTTGCCTGGAACACACTACGTAGACCAGGTTGGTCTTGGTTTCACAGAGATCCACCTGCCTCTGCTTCCCAAAAGCTCAGATTAAAGGCATGTGCCACCCCATCCAGTGGTACATCTTGGTTTTAAAAGTTCTTACCTAAGATGAAATAAACCAGGTATGGTGGAAGCACACCTTTAATCCTAGCACTCAGGAGGCAGAGGCAGGCAGATCTCTGTGAGTTCAAGGCCAGCCTGGTCTACATAGTGAGTTCTATGCCAGCTGGGGCTAAAGAAGGCCCCCCGTTTCAAAAAAAAAAAAAAAAAAAAAGACCAAAGAACTACATAAATAAATAAGAAAGCATTTTAAAATAGAAAAAGTCATAGGACGTAACAAAAATACTGAGTTTCAACATTCCTTTTCAGTCCTTATATATATACACAAATATATACAACTTTGGAAAGTACCAGGTTTAACTGTTTGAAACAAATTAACACTGAGATAAACAGCCAAAAAATAGGGTTGTGAAATGGGGAGACAGACATCAATTCTGTACTACTATACTCCCTAGATACTCAGAGCTCCAACCAATACAGGCCAGCAAAGGAAAGAACAAGATGAGCCAGGGATATCTGGTCTAACCACAAGGTCTTCAGAAAGTGATGAGCTACATCTAAAGACCTAAGGATCCAGCTGAACAATCTCCATCCCCAGATGAACCAAGGATGATTCAAACAGCAAAATAATGATGGAATATAAAACCTAGAGATCCAACCAAGAGTTTACAAGTTGCTACAGTCTGATCCTTTTTGTTTAGCTCGATTTTGAAACAAGGCCTCATTATATGGTACAGGATGGCCTTGAACTTGCAATCTTCACGTCTCAATCTCTTAAATGTTGGGATTAGAGGCACTGCCCCATCACACAATACCTAGCTTATAGTTTGGATCTTGACTATCCCCCAAAAGTTATGTTTTAAAGGCTTGGTCTCCAGCATGGTGCTACTAAGAGGTGGTGAGACTTTATGGGGCCTAGTGAGGTCTTCAGGCTACTCAGGATATGGGGCCCCAATCCCTTCTTTCTTTCTTTTGCATTTCCTAGCCATGAGGTGACCAATTTTGTTCTGCCACCCACTCCTGCCATGTGTCACTGCTGTCAAAGTCAGCTAACTGCTAGAGCAAGAGGCACAACTGATCATATACTGACGCCTCTAAAATTGTGAGCCAAAATAAACTTTTTCTCTTGTAAGCTGCTCATTTCAGTTACTTGTTACAGTGACAGAAAGATAACTAACACATAAATAAATACTTAAGAATAGATAGGATGGAGACAGGTGTGGTGGTGCACGCCTTTAATCCCAGCACTTGGGAGGCAGAGGCAGGAGGATCCCTAGGGCTTACTTGCCAGCCATCCTAGCCAACACACTAAGCTCCAGGTTCAATGAGAGACCCTGTCATCAAAAAATAAGGTAGAGGACAACTGAAAAAGAAACATTATCCTCTAGGCCTCCACACATACAAACACATACACAAACATACACCACACATAGAACATACAAATGGACAGCTCGATGGGACAGTGAAGCACCTCCTCCAGCAGAAAGGTAACTGACTAGTTAACAAAGAGGAAGAAACAAGAGACAGAAAACCACCATATGACCTGACCCTATAGTACTTCCTGGTAAGCTATGACAAACAGGACACTAGTAGGGCCTCAGCCTTAGAGGACAACGTGGAAAAAAGCAGCTTTACAATGACTGACCCTAATAGGACAAAAGGTCACCAAATTACAACTCTTAAAGATGCAAGCCAGGGCCAGGCATGATGGCGCACCAGCACTAGGGAGGCAGAGGCAGGCAGATCTCTGTGAGCTCAAGGCCAGCCTGGTCTATATAGTAAGTTCCAGGCCAGCTGGGGCTACAGGGAGACCCTGTCTCAAAGGACAAAAAGAAGATGCAAGCCAGGTCTGTGATATTCCATTACCCAAACCAGATCCTTAGAAACACTGGGCAAATCAAATTAGACATGTTTTATCAAACACCTGCACTGTGCTCTCCAACTCCACACACAAGAACAAAAAAGGCTGAGAATGTTGTAGACAAAAAGAAACTAACCAGCAATAAGGTGACTGGGATCCAAGATCAGAATTTGTTTACTTTGGTATTAATTAACAGTTTCCTAACTGGCAAAAGTTAAGAGATGCACTAAGATTAAGTAATACCATAGCAAAGTTGATTTCCTTATTTTTATTACTACACTGTGGCTACTCAAAGAATGTCCTTGTTTTTATGGATATTACACTGTGATTTCTAGGAAAAACAGGTATAATCTTTGACAAGCAGCTTACATTCCTGTTTCAGAATAAAAAGATTATAGGAAGGGTTACTATTACTGTGCATCTGGAGAATGAGTGAAAGTCACACAGGATTCCTTTGTAGAATTTCTGCAACTTTGCTAGAAATCTGAAATTGCTTTAAAGTAAAATTAGGTGGCCATAGTAGAACAAGCCTATTATATTAGCACTCAGGAACCTGAGGACAGAGGAGGGAGAGATCAAGACCAGTATGGATACATAATGAAACACTTTCTTAAAAAAAAAAGAAAAAAAAGGGTGGGGGTACAGAACAAGGAGTAAAAGAAGAAAGGTAGAGACAGACAGAGGGCAGGG